TAAACAAAGGAATACCAGCAAACAATGAAAGTGCACTATTAAGATATACAACAACAGAGGTGATCTCAAAAACATGTTAAGCAAAAGAAGGTTGTATGCTTCATATACTTGAGGTTCAAGAGGCAGCAGCTATGTGTGGGTTTTGGAGTTAGAGAGTGGTTGCCTTGGGCTTGGACTTAAACTAAAAGGAAAGAGCAGAAGGAAATGTATGACGAGCATGCATAGCTCAGGTAGAGGCACATCGGTAAATAATGTCAGAGCTCATCAAGTCAAACGAAGATCAGTTCATTTTGTTTAAATCATACTTCAGTAAGTAAACAATGTATTGAATGAAATTGAATGACATTCTGAAAAAATAAAAGGATCTATGAAAGTATGATTAGAAATAACCATGGACATATTTCTTTAAAAACAACTTTCCCTGAGGATTGTAGTGTGAGATAGTAATAGTATAGTAATATGTATTATTTGTAGTGTGAGATAGTAATGGTATAGTAATATGTATTATTTGTAGTGTGAGATAGTAATGGTATAGTAATATGTATTATTTGTAGTGTGAGATAGTAATGGTATAGTAATATGTATTATTTGTAGTGTGAGATAGTAATGGTATAGGAATATGTATTATTTGTAGTGTGAGATAGTAATGGTATTGGAATATGTATTATTTGTAGTGTGAGATAGTAATGGTATAGTAATATGTATTATTTGTAGTGTGAGATAGTAATGGTATAGTAATATGTATTATTTGTAGTGTGAGATAGTAATGGTATAGGAATATGTATTATTTGTAGTGAGAGATAGTAATGGTATAGTAATATGTATTATTTGTAGTGAGAGATAGTAATGGTATAGTAATATGTATTATTTGTAGTGTGAGATAGTAATGGTATTGGAATATGTATTATTTGTGGTGCTGCAGTGCCTTTCAAATTAAAGATGGCAGTCTAGTCTCTTTAAAATTGTGGAAGATGGGCCAGCAAGATGGCTCAGCAGAGGGTTCTTGTAGCTAAGGTTTATGAATGAAGCTGCATGTCTGGAATCTACATGCTATAAGGAAAACATCCTGGAAGTCATACACACAAACTAAGTAAGTAACTGTAAGAAATAAAATAAGTTGCAGAAGACTACTGCAGATTTAAAAGAAATGTATCTAGACAGGCATGGTAGTGCCGGTCACTCGTCCCAGCGCTGGGCAGACTGAAGCAAACAGGATTTCTGTGAGTTGGAAGTGACCTGAGCTGTGTGGTGAGTCCAGTCTGGACTGTGCTACAAAGTGAGATCCTGTGTCACAAACAAAATAAATAAGTACAGTATACCATCTTCTTCAGCCAAAGGTTTTTTTCCTTTAAAATTTTTAATGTTAAGTTTATATATAATTAAATGTGTGGGTCTTGGGTGCACATTTAATGTTTTTTAACAATGTATGTATCCTATGTATTAAACACCTTATCGAGTGGTAGAATGTTTCTGTCACCATAAACCTAATATATTGGTCACACACACACACACACATATTGAGACAGGGTCTTACTTGACTGTCCTAAAACTCACTGTGTAGACCAGCAGACTGGCCTCTAATTCCTTGAAGTCAACTTACCTCTTCCTTCCAGTGCTTGCATTAAAGGTGTGTGCCGCCATGCCCACCCATTCCCTTTATATGCATGTGTGTTCATATTCTTTCCCTGTTATCCCTATAAGATTACTAAGTAAGTGCAAAGTTCTTTTGTTCCCTGTAGCTACTGTAAAAGCAACAACAAAATCTCAGTGTCTCTAGTACCATTAAGAGTAGTCATTATGACAGCTCAGAAATGGTAGATCCAAAATGAAAATCACCCAACACAATCAGTTTTTGGAGTTTCCTAATATAAATTCCAGATTAGTACTGGTAGTATGCCATAATTATATCATAGGTGGGACATTCCAATAGCCTTATCAATCAGAGTAAGCTTAATAATAATTATCTGCCGAGGCATGGTAATACACTTGTAATCCCAGCACTGAGTGAAGGTCATAAGTTCAAGACCAACCTGGGTTAGTAAGAAAGAACCTATTTTAAAAGGGAAAAGAGACCAAAGACTGATCTGCCTTCAGCTGCTCTTCTCTGGTTATCTGGATACCTCTAATACCTGTTTTAAGTATCCTAGTGATAGCAGCTAATAGTTCATAATAATACTTTTATATCCCATATTTCACTCTAAAAGAACCCTTAGTTAGTACTTTCTAGACCGTTTATAAGAGGTACAAAATCAATAATATGCAGGCACCTTTTTGGTTGAACATGATTTTAACAAGGTGACAAAGCAAGCTACAATTCATGAAGAGAATCAAAGGCAAATGCCTTATCTATTGGAAATTATAGAGAGAGCATTGATTTTTTTTTTCTTAGCAGAAAGATCTATGCTCAAATTTTAGTTTTGCTAAGATAAAAGGTTTGACCTCTTAACGGAAAGTACAGTAGTAGCAATGGGACTGATGATAATCTGAATCTTAGAACACAGTCTTTGTTTAATGGTAGTGTTAAATATTTCTAAGGTATCAGTAAATATCTGAAGCAGGCATAAATTATTATAGAAGTGGGTTAGTATCTACTGCATTTTGTTTGCATCCTGAATCCTTTGCCTTTTCTAGCTGACTCTAATCCTCTCACCTTTTCTTTCCTTTTTTCTGAAAGGATCAATAAATGACCCTCTTCTTGCTGACCTCGTAATTAGTAACTCAGTCTCTCTCAATCTCTTCCCATTATCAGAGGTAATGTGTAAGTCCCTCAGAGCTTGGAGGAAGGTAGAATGGAGTTCTTAGGATCCTAGGATTGTTTTTTCTGAATCTTAACAGGTTAAAAGTTAGAAGATCGTGGTGAAACTGAGGGAAAGAAGCATTTGGGGAAGTTTATGCACACGATATGCCAATATACTAAGATGTGTGATTGCTGGAGGAAGTCCCAGTTAGAGAGTAGGCAAAAGTAGAGTTTTAGTTTCCTCTCTGTGTATGGTAGTTATAAATATTTCCCTTTTAAGGAACAGAAGTGACTGAGAAGAGGGGAGAAGAGAGGAGGAAATTCTTGGTATGAAACACAGAGATTGGGGAGGGGGAGTTTTCCTGAAAGCTATAAAATTGTTTTCAAGAAGAAATATATTATCTACAGTTGCAGTGTTTAGACATTTGGCAATTGGATAAAATAATTTTTGGTGAAAACAGGAAAACAGATGGACATAAATGTACAATAGGGAAGTAACTTTCATTCCTTGTACATACACAGTGAAATCATTCTGGGCAATAAATTCTTGGAGAAGTTGACTAGGGCTTGGGAAAATGTCATCGTTTATGACCAAATACACACAAACAGGTGAAAACTCAAGATGAAGAGGTAATGGTAACTACCTGGTAGAGAGACTTAGAACCCTTTCATCCCGCAGGAAGGACTGCATTAGAGATAAAATGCTACAAGTGTTGGATTTTTTTAAAAGATGCTGTAACAATTTTGGCTATTGTGGATATAGGAAATAAATGCCTTTTGTTCCACCCAAACAAATATATATCATTTAAAATGTTAACTATAAAAATTGTTTATCCCATAGTTTCTAGAACAAATACCAAGGTTACTTTTAAAGGTGACACAGCTGTGGATGCATTTTTTCCTCATTCTTTCTTCTCTCAAGCCTCGATTCCTCTTCCTACTTACTTTCTCTGTCTGCCAGCCCCACCTATACCTCTACTGCCTAGCTATTGGCCATTCAGCTTTTTATTAAACCAATCAGGTGCCTTAGGCAGGCAGGGTAAAAAAAAATGCAACACATCTTTACTAGGTAAACAAATACAACACATCTTTACATAATTAAAATAATGTGCCACAACATACTACCTTGCTTGAGACTGATTCCCTTAGGTGACTGTTTGCCAGCCTAGCTGACCCACAGAGATTCTGCTATCTCTACCATCCATCTTGCTAGAGAAGAACTAGGGTGACAGACTTGTGCTATCAGGTCTGGCTTTATGTGGACTATGGGAATCTGAACTTAGATTCTTATGCAGGATCCTCATGTCTCCATCTACCATCTTGCCATAAGAGTGCTGGGATTACAGATGGGTTTTATTCATCTGCCTTCATATAGATTCTGGAGATCTGAACTCAGGTCTTGTGCTGATTTAGCTTCCTAGTCCCTCATTATGTTTCCTTATACACATTAGTTAGGTGATAATAAGTAACCACCATAGAAAACAAGGCTTCGAGGAATCTAGGAACAAACAATAGTGTGATAGCAGATATTTAGAGAAAGCAGATGATGAGTTGGAGACCAACACTAAAGAAAAAATAGTTGGGGAAGATAAGAGATAACATTCCAAGCTAAGATAGTAGACTGATTAGAGACCCACATGTTCATAATCTACTAATAGAAATTGTAGGTGAACAAATGAGTATATTGAGTAGAGCAGAAGGACCAACTTTTCCTTTTAAGTCATCCCTTATACATGTTTATGTTCTCTAGCGTACAAAAATATATTAATTTTCAGGAACAAATTCTGATGCGTTAGACAAAAATGTGCAATATTATGAAAATGCATACCACTTAGAAGAATATAAAGGAGGAAGCTGCAGGAAGTTGCGTAGTTCAGGCAAGTGCTCCAGAGGGTACTGTAGTAATATGGGGCGGCAGGGCTGCGTCCCCCACACCCGGCCACCCACATGGCTAGCTTATGCTCCGAAATAACAACACACAAACTGTATTCTTTTAATCACTGCTTGGCCCATTCTCTTCTAGGCTAATTCTCACATATTAATTTAGCCCATTCCTAATCATCTGTGTGTAGCACCCCAAGGTGCGCTTACCGGGGAGATTCTAGCCTAGTCCATCCTGGGTCCGAGCTTCATCACGTGTGTCTGCCAGGGAGCAGGGCATGGCGTCTCTGCTGAGGCGTCTGCTCCGGAGAGCAGAGCTGTTGAGACTCTGACCTCACTTCCTCTTCCTCCCAGCATTTTGTTCTGTTTACTCCACCCACAGGGCCAAGCAGTTTCTTTATTGGCCAATGACCTTCCTCCATCAGGGTACAAGTGGCAGACCTTAAGACAGAACACTGACAGAAGACTGCGGGTAAGCTGAGGAGAGCACCGAGCTTTCCTAGAATTTCCTTGTGGCTTTAGTAACAAGCACTGCTGAGAGTTTCCAGGTCTGGCTCCATAATTACACTCCACATTATATATTGCGTATTAGCAATGAGAATGTGCTGGCCAGAGTCCTCATCTCTCACCGTTGGAATACATAGCAGCAGTTAGTAATGTTTCATGTCAAATTTTCATAAATATCAAATTGAGATGCCCTAATTATTGTAGAGATCTGAAATATCTACCTCATTTGAGAGGAATAATGTTCACTTTGAAGGTGATAAATACATTCAACACCTGAAAGAAAGAACAAGGAAGGTTGTATTAATTTGCATTTTCCTGAGTTACTTAAGGTATTTTCAAAGATCTGTAACTAAATGTAAGTACTTCTCGTCAAAATTATTATTTATTTCTAGTCATTTAGTCCTTCAAAATGCAGAAGGAAGAAAAGTATTACAACTTATTCTCCAACAACTGGAACTTATCAAATGAGCCCATTTTCTTCTTCTACAACCCCCAAAGAACAAGAGTGCGGAAACAGACCATCAAATGGTTAGTTGAACATTCTTTTCCACTTATGGTAAGATTCTTCTAGTTATTGGTTAAATCAAGATTTTGATTTAGTGATATATAGCTCTTGTTGCAGCTGGGTTTTCTCTCTTCTCAAGGAATTTAACATAGAAAAGGCTAGAGTGAAATGTTACTTTGGACATAAATGTAAACTTTGTAGGCACTTATTTTAAAATGCTGCTGCTGTTCCCTTACTATTCCATCCATTAAACAGAAGTTATGGCCTGACTGCCTTCAGCTACTATCAATTATAATGGTTACAGATATGCCCTTAACAAGCTATCCATTATGTGCATAAATTAAAGGGCATATAACTCAGGTGTTGCCACGCTGCGGTTTAAGAGGGGTACTTCTAAATGTTATTCTTATCCATATTGTCCATTTAGCTTTACCCACATTTAGTATATGTTTACATAGTTTACACTTATTGTATTTCAGCCATAAAATAATAATAACCTAATTTTTATGTAAAATTATTTTAAAATATTCTTCATTTAATTCTGACATTTATATTTGTTATTCTCTAGTAGTTTGCTGCTAAGATCTATATTTAAAGGCACAAGTCTCAATTTCATATGCTTAATTTTTTTTATATTGTAAAATGTCATGAATCGGTGATGTCATTTTCTGTAATATAAAATTTTAAATAAGCTCAAATTTAATAAAATGTATTTATGCTGTGGTTAGCCTAATTTATATTTTATTGTTTAACATTTATTGGATGTTAAGCATATACTAGAATGTATAAAGAAATTGTCCTCATTTTACCTAAGATATTAAGGTATTTAGATATTAAGCTATTGAGTGTCTTTAATTTTAGTTTAATCAAGTGTTTTATCCTAAAGCTATTAATATTATGTTTGTTTCCACAAAACTTATGAAAATCTATACATTTCTCTCAAGTTCTATAGTTTTATATACCTGATATAGCTTCTTAATTAAAAAATAAAAGCTTAGAGATTGCATATCTCTGTATGAAAATCTCAGTAGATGTTAAATTGGTGCATACTCAATTTCCATATTGAAATTAAGTAAGGACTTAAGGGAACATTCCTTTTGCCCATAAAAAGATTGGTCACATGATTTCACTTGACATTTATATGGGTAATTGTCACATTATAGGTACTAAGTATGCTCTTTTATAAAAAAGTCAAACTGCAAGGGTTTCTGAGGTGTTGGCAATATTCTACTTTTTGACTTATGTGGTGATTACTGGTTCACTTTGGTTATTAATTAAAGTGGACATATGTGTTTAATTTACTCTGATAGATATGTATGTATGAGTATATGTGTGTATATATATATACATATACACACATATCACATATGAAACTTTGTTAAGGTCCTGAATTAATTCACATCATTTGTAATCATACTCTCAATACTAATATGTCTTCTGAATGTTTTAGAAATAAAAAAGCCTAATCATTATCAGATATCATAAGTTCCAAGTTATAAAATAAAACAAAGTAATTTAAAATTCAGATGAGATCATGACCTCCTTTTCTATTTCCCCCTTTTAAAATATTGTTCAAACTTGAACAGGAAATTTAAATAACATTTAGAAAACAATTTATTTCTACTTGCTCCTCATTATACTTGATAATAAACCCCAAATCCTTATACTTGGATTTTGCATCTTGTGTTCAAGTCTCACAGATCGAATGTGGAGATCAGAGGGCAATTTTGAGTGTCAATTCTCGCCTTCCATCTTGTTTCACTTGTTTCTGCTGCTGGTGTGTTCTCTGAGCTAGCTGACCTGTGAGTTTCAGAGCAATCTCCTCTCTCTGCCTCCTGTCTCCTGTAGGTATGGAGGTTACACATGTGCACCCCCACACACTCCTGAGACCGAACTCACATCGTCAGAGTTGTATGACACTGAACCATCTTCTGAACAAAAGCCATTCATCCATCAAGTACCATTTTTCTTCCATGTTTTAGCACCTTTGTCATCTTGGTCATTCTGAGCCCGGGCTGACTTTGACTCTTTGGTCTTCTTCCCCCCACCTCAGAAGTACTGGGATTACAGGCATGCACCACCATGCCCAGCTTAGACGAATTATTTTGTGTAGCTTCTTTAAAACAGTAGCTGGCCCTAATAAGTGCCATGTGTTAACCATCGTCATCATCACCAATAATTGTGCTTTCAAGTCTTATCCACTGAAAGCTGTTTTCCTTAGGTAAGGAAAAGGCTCCCTGGATTCCTGCCAGAACCTTTAAAAACAGTTCTGAACTCAGTGTAGAGTCAATGATAACACACTTATAATAGGTGTTTTGTAAAGTTGTATTTAAAAAAAAAAGTCAAGAGCACAAGTGTTAAAACATGTGTATATAATCTAGAAAGAAAAATGCTGATATGACCCCATTGTCCTCCAATATGTGCTGTGTGTTGTGTTCCCTCTTTTTGTTTGTTTGTGTTTTGTTTTGTTTTTTCTGGGAGGGTTTTGTTTGTGTAGTCCTGGTTGCCTGGAACACACTCTCTAGACAAGGCTGGCCTTGAACTCAGCCACCTGCCTCTGCTTCCTGAGTGCTGGGGTTAAAGGTATTTACCACTGAGCCAGGCGTGTATTGTGTTTACTTTTTAAAGAGAATGGAATGAAGAAAAGAGAATGATTAACTAAAAAATGTTATTTGGAGAGATATTTAAAGTCCTACTTAGTAATTGAAAAGTACTTAAAGAGCTAAGAAAACCAAGATTTTTATTGACCCACATAGTGGCTAATATGTGGTTAATTATTATGCAATAATACAAATATTTAGAAAAGCATTGAACACCTGATAAAAATTCTAGTAAAATAATTTAGGCTGTCACTGGCTTCTGGGGATAAAATAGGGACATGAATTACAAGTTAAGGAAGCAATTTTATTATTTGATTTTGGAGTATACTTTACTGAATATACTCAGTATAGTACAAAATTCAAGAAATTAACTTTTGGTCAAGATTTTTTTTTAAAAAAAGGAAATGAAAAACTGAAACAAAATACTTTCTTTTCCTTACTACCCTTCTGTTTTTCCCTTCCTGTTTAATATTCAGCAGTCTAAATTCAACTTTGTTGTGTGATTGTTTTCTAAGCTGAGTCAGGTGATGCTTACCAGGCCAGTCTCAGGCCTTCTGATTCAGTCTTTCAGGTGCTGGAATTACAGGTAGCTAAAATTTGTCAATTCAATCGATTAAAATTTGGCCAATCACCTCTTTAACATTGTGTTCTTTTCTTTGTTACACTCATGTAGGAAAGACAAAGCAGAATAACCTCAGCTCACCTGTGAGAGAGGAATCCACAGCAAAAGACAGCGATGAGTAAGCTTGGCTTTAAAGTTACAGTCACTGAATCGTACTCAGGAAAAACTTGACTGTTTTTAAATGAATCCTTTAATTTTTTGTAAATTAGTAGTTTATAACTGGGCTGAATTATTCTATCTAAACATTTATTTATTTTATATGCTTCTCTTCTTAACTTTCTGTTAAGGAAAGTACTTGTGTCTTACAATGGTTATGTAGCAGGAGTGTATAACGCATTCATTTTAATACTGATTAAGCCTAGGTCTAGGCTTGTGTATATAGACCAGTTTGAGGTAAAACTAAGAAAATCTCCATTTAACAGACACCTGGATAGAAAGGGAGCAGATTGGCACAAGCATGGAGGGAGAGGGTGAGGAGGGCTCTCCTCAGCCCAGGGTAGATGCCAACACCCAGCCCAGTTCACATTGGCCTGCCACCAGTACCTCTGAGTGAAAGTATTTTTTGCAGAAATTCTGTGTATCCTAGAAATACTATTTATGTATGTCAACCTGGAATGATTGAATTATCAAGGGAGTTGAATTTGCAAAGTGGCTCATATGCTCACCTCATCTATGAAGTGATTTCTGCATGCTATACCATAGGATGTAAAGTGAAGTTTCAACCCACTTAGAGCTCATAGTCTTATGTTGTAAGTTAATATGCCCTCAATTTAGAAATGAGGTATATTGAACATGTTTTCTAAATCATTTATAGGGAACTCTGAAGCGTTTATCTAATTATTCTTTATTAATAAACACTCAGGAGTCAGAAATGGGATAAGCACCTGATTGATCAGAGAAGTGGTGGCAAAGTAACCAGTGATCTCCTTTCTTTTTTCCTTTCATTTTTTAAAATTTATTTATTTAAACAATCTTTTCCTATTTTACATACCTATCCCAGTTCCTACTCCCTCCCATCCTCTCACTCCCCCCACTTCCTCCCACCCCATCCCCCATCCATTGCTCTGAGAGGGTGAGGCTTCCCATGGGGAGTCAACAAAGTCTGACAAATCACTTTGAGGCATGACCAAAGCCCTTCCCCCTATATTTAGGCTGAGCAAGTTATCCCTCCAAAAAGAATGGGTTCCAAAAACCAGTTCAAGCACTAGGGATAAATCCTGGTTCCACTGCCAGTGGCTCTACAGACTGCCCAAGCCACACAACTGTCACCCACATTCAGAGGGCCTAGTTTGGTTCTCTTCAGGTTCCTCTGCTATCAGTCTGGAGTCAGTGAGTTCCCACTAGCTCAGCTCAGCTGTCTCTGTGGGTATCCCCAACATCATCTTGACCCCTTTGCTCATATTATTGCTCCTCCTTCTCTTTGACTGGTCTCTGAAAGCTTGGCCCAAAGCTTAGCTGTAGATCAACTGCTTCCATCAGTTGCTGGATGAAGGCTCTATTAAGGTAGTCATCAATCTGACTATAGGGGAAGGCCAGTTTAGGCACCCTCTCCACTATTGCTAAGGTTCTTAGCTGGGGTCATTCTGTGGATTCCTGAGAATTTCTCTGGTGCCAGGTTTCACGCTAGCCCCATAATGGTTCCCACAATCAAGATATCTCTTTTCTTGCTTCCCTTCTCTATCCTTTCCCCATATCAACTCTCCCATTCCCTCATGTTCTCCTCCTCTCTCCCCATTTCCCACCCTCTTCCCCTCCCATCCTCCCTTCTACTGCCATCCCCAAACTCCCAGTTTTCTCAGGAGATCTTGTCTATTTCCCTTTCCCAGGGGGATCCATGTATGTCTGTCATTGTTATCTAGATTCTCTGGGGTTCTGGACTACAGGCTGGTTATCCTTTACTTTATGTATAATATCCACTTATGTGTATTTACTGTGTTTGTCTTTCTAGGTCTGTTACCTCACTCAGGATAGTTTTTTCTAGTTCATACATTCACATGCAAATTTCAGGATGTCATTGTTTTATTACTGTTGATTAGTACTTCATTGTGTAAATGTACCACGTTTTCTTTATCCATTCTTCAGTTGAGGGGCATCTAGGTTGTTTCCAGGTTCTGACTATTATAAATATGCTGCTATGCACATAGTTGAGCACATGTCCTTGTGGGTATAATTGAGCATCCTTTGGGTATGTGCCCAAGAGTGGTATTGCTGGGTCTTGAGGTAGATTGATTCCCAATTTTCTGAGAAACCGCCATACTGATTTCCAAACTGGCTGTACAAGTTTGCATTCTCACCAGCAATGGAGGAGTGTTCCCCTTACTCCACATCCTCTCCAGCATAAGCTATCATTGGTGTTTTTTATCTTAACCATCTTGACTGGTGTAAGATGGTATCTCAGAGTTGTTTTGATTTGCCTTTCCCTGATGGCTAAGGATGTTGAGCAATTTTTAAAGTATCTTTCAGCCATTTGATATTCTTCTGTTGATAATTCTGTTTAGATCTGTACCCTATTTTTAATTGGATTTTTGATATTTTAATATCTAGATTTTTGAGTTCTTTATATATTTTGGACATCAGTCAGTCCTCTGTCCAATGTGGCGTGGTGGAGATCTTTTCCCATTCAGTAGGCTGCTGTTTTGTCTTATTGACTGTGTCCTTTGCCTTACAGAAGCTTCACAGTTTCAGGAGGCCCCATTTATTAATTGTTGCTCTCAGTGTCTATATTACTGGTGTTATATTTAGGAAGTGGTCTCCTGTGCCCATGTGCTCAAAGCTACTTCCAACTTTTTCTTCTATGAGGTTCAGTGTGGCTGGATTTGTGTTAAGGTGTTTGATCCGTTTGGACTTGAGTTTTGTACATGTGAATAGATAAGGATATATTTGCATTGTTTTACATGTCGACATCCAGTTATGTCAGCACCATTTGTTAAAGATGCTTTATTTTTTTCCATTGTATAATTTTAGCTTCTTTGTCGAAAATCAGGTATTCATAGGTGTGTGGATAAATATCAGGGTCTTTGATTCAATTCCGTTGGTCCACCTGTCTGTTTTTATGCCAATAGCAAGCTATTTTCATTACTATAGCTCTGTAGTAGAGCTTGAAGTCGGGGATAGTGATGCATCTGGAAGTTCCTTTATTGTATAGTATTGTTTTGGCTATCCTGGGTTTTTTTTGTTGTTGTTGTTTTTCCGTATGAAGTTGAGTATTGTTCTTTCGAGGTCTGTGAAGAATTGTGTTGGGGTTTTGATGGAGAATGCATTGAATCTGTAGATTGCTTTTGGTAAGATTACCATTTTATTATGTTGATCCTCCCTATCCAAGATCATGGGAGATCTTTCCATTTTCTGGTATCTTCTTCAATTTCTTTCTTCAAAGACTTAAAGTTCTTGTCGAACAGGTCTTTCACTTCTTTGTTTAATGTTACACCACCCAAGAAATTTTATGTTATTTGTGGCTATTATAAAGGATGATGTTTCTCTGATTTCTTTCTCAGTCCTTTTATCACTTGTATATAGTAGGGTTACTGATTTTTTTTAGTTGATCTTGTATCCTGCCACATTACTGAATGTGGTTATCTACCAGTTCCCTGGTAGAATTTTTGGGGTCACTTATGTATATAATCATATCATCTGCAAATAGCAAAAGTTTGACATCTTCCTTTCCAGTTTGTATCCCCTTGTTCTCCTTTTATTGTCTTATTGCTCTAGCTAGAACTTACAGTAGTATGTTGAATAGATATGGAGAGTGTGAACAGCCTTGTCTTATTCCTGATTTTAGTGGAATCACTTTGAGTTTCTCTCCATATAATTTGATGTTGGCTGTTGGCTTGCTGTATATTGCTTTTATCATATTTAGATACATTGCTTGTATCCCTGATCTCTCCAAGACCTTTATCATGAAGGGGTGTTATATTTTATCAGAGGCTTTTTCAGCAACTAATGAGATGATCATATGTTTTTTTCTTTCAGTTTGTTTATATGGTGGATTACAATGACATATTTTTGGGTTTTTTCATTTATAGATTTATTTCCTTATTGTACAAATTACCACACAAATACAGAATTCACAATAGCACTTAAGAGAGCACAGAAATCTTCTCTTGACTATAAAAAATAATAAACTACAAGAACAACTCCCCATTTTCTGGACGAGAGTGCTGCCAAAAAGAAATTCCTTGTAGGTGGATAGGAGGTTTTGTAGATGGTTGAGACTGCAGTTAAGCTTCATACTGTATTCCCAGAATCAATATGAGGAATGAAATTCAAGATTCACATGAGTTTCTTGTGATAGATTTTCGTATGTTGAAACATCCCTGCATCTCTGGGATGAAGCTGACTTGATCATGGTGGATGATTTTTTTTGATATGTTCTTGGACTCTGCTTGCCATTATTTTATTGAGTATTTTTGCATATATGTTCATGAGTGAGACTGGTCTGTAATTTTCTTTCATGCTTGAGTCTTTGAGTTTTTTTTTTTTAATCAGGGTTACTGTAGCCTCATAAAAAGAGTTTGCCAATGTTCCTTCTGTTTCTAGTGTGTGGAACAATTTGAGGAGTATAGGTATTAGCTCTTCTTTGACATTCTGATAGAATTCTGTGTTGAAACCATCTGGCCGTGGGCTCTTTTTGGGGGGGGTAGCCTTTGATGACTTCTATTTCCTTAGTAGTTATAGGTCTATTTAAATTGTTTATCTGGAACTGGGTGGTGGTGGCGCATGCCTTTAATACCAGCACTCATAAGTTCGAGGCCAACCTGGTCTATAAGAGCTAGTTCTAGGACAGGCTCCAAAACTACAGAGAAGCCTTGTCTCAAAAATAAATAAATAAATAAATAAATAAATAAATAGTTTATCTGGTCTTGATTTAATTTTGGTATGTCTATCTATCCAGAAAACTATCCATTCTTTTTAGATTTTCCAATTTTGTGGAGTACAGGTTTTCAAAGGATGACCTAATGATTCTTTAGATTTCCTCAGTGTCTGTTGTTGCTATGTCCCTCTTTTCATTTCTGATTTTGTTAATTTAGATGTTCTCTCTCTGCCTTTTGGTTAGTTTGGATAAGGATTTGTCTATCTTGTTGATTTTCTTTAAGAACCAGCTCTTTGTTTCATTGACTCTTTGTATTGCTTTCCTTGTTTCTATTTTATTGATTTTGACCCTCAATTTGATTATTTCCTGTCATTTACTCCTCCTGGGTAAGTCTGCTTCTTTTTGTTTTAGAGCTTTCAAGTGTGCCATTAAGTCGTTAGTGTGAGATTTCTCTTTTTTTATGTGGGCACTTAGTGCTATGAACTTTACTCTTAGCACTGCTTTCATGATGTCCCATAAGTTTGGGTATGTTGTGCATTCATTTTTATTGAATTCTAGGAAGTCTTTAATTTTTCTTCCTTGACCTAAGGGTGATTCAGTCATGTAGCTAAAATTCATTTGAAGTGGGGCTAGTCTGAATGAGATGTTTCAGTATAAATATACATCAGACTTGAAAACTACAAAGATATCTCAGGAATTTTTATATTATTTTATGTTTAAATAATAATTCTATGAATATCTTGAGCTAAATAATGTCATTAAATTTTAACTATTTCTTTCTATTCCTTTTAATGCAGCTACTTGAAAAGTATGTGTGAATTACATTTCTGTTACGCTCTGGATATGTATTCTTAGATGATGAGATTAGAATACAGCCTGAAACCGCAACAATGATTAAGTCATCTTTGGCTTGTTTATTTGATAGAATATTGTTCAGCCCTTAAAATTATCCATTTTTGGTGTGTGCATCCCTCAGAAGTTAAGCAGTTGTAGTGGTCCATGCCCATAATTCCAGCACTCTAGAAGCAGAAGCAAGAGAATTGCTACATATATGAGAACAGCTGGGCTACATAGCTGTTTCCAAGCCAACCAGAGTTACACTTTGGCATTCTTTCTCAAAAAAGAAAGAAAGAAAGAAAGAAAGAGAAAGAAAGAGAAAAAAGAAGAAAAAACCCTCCCCTCCCCCAAAAGCTTGTTATGTTAAGTAAAGAAAGCATCATTTAAAACCCGTGGTTCTCAACCTTCCTAATGTTGCTTTCAGACACTTCTTCATGCTGTGCTGACCCCAACCATAAATTTATTTCATTGCTACTTCATAACTGTAATTTTGCTAGTTATGAATTGTAATGTAAATATCTGATATGAAGGATGTCTGATATGTGACTCCCAAAGGGGTCACAACGAACAGTTTGAAATTGGTGATTCAAACTTACAAAAATTAAGTTTAAATCCTGCGGAGGAAAAATTCCAACCTACTGATGAGTAACATGATTACAAGGAAGTAGCTTTTCCCTGTTAATTCAAATTTAAGAGATTGCTTTTGTATTTTTTTCACACTGAACTCTGCAAGCTATTATTTTAAGTTCCTAGATAGCACTGCCCTGAAGTCTCAACCATGGTAAGTGAACAATGGAATATTAACTCAAAAAGGATATATGGAAAGGAAAGAGGCGGCTATATCTCCCCTCACACTGATGGATGGGAATGGAAGCTGGGCAAGTAGGCGCTGAGAGGGTGATTAATAATGTGTGTTGTGCTTATAAAGGAATATCAAAACAAGGGGAGAACATTTCCATATGTTAGCTCTTTGACACGTGAAGAAAGGGCTAGAGAACAGCGTGTGTCTCTAGGAATAGAATTACAACCCTGGGACCTGACACATTTCCATGCTTATTCTTAGTAACTATGCTTGTCTGTTCCTTCCTAGATTCATAGTGCTGCTATCTAAAATTGAGAGATCAGCAGAAAACACCATGGAGATAATGAAGAATTTAAGTAGTATACAGGTTTGCACTTTTCTCACATGTAATTTTCAGACCTCTGCTGTCCATTTTGAAAAGGATAAAAAAGAAGCCTTGTATGTCTAGCCACAAGTGTGCAGAGTATATAATTTATTTCTCATGGGAATCTCCCTGGTTATAGTACATAATGATTAACTGTAATATTTTAGTAATAGCTGGCATTTTCACATTTAAAAGTAATTTTGTGTGTATGTTTAAGGTTTATGGAATTTTCGTTTGTTTGAGATAGGGTCTCACTATGTAGCTCTGGCTGTCCTAGAACTCAACTATGTAGACCAGGCTGGACTCAGAGATTCACCTACTTCTGCCTCGCAAGTGATAGAATTAAAGGCAATCGCCACCACACCTGGCATGTTTAAATTACGTCTCTTAATAATAATAATTTTTTAAAAGCCTGCTCTTAATTGAGCATAGTGATATATTCACTTAATGCCAGCACTCAGGAGGCAGAGGCTGGCAGATCTCTAGAGTTCAAGGCCAGCCTGGTCTATATATTGAATTTCAGGTCAGCTAAGACTACATAGAGAAATCCTGTCTCAAACCTTACAGCCTCTATAGGGCTTGTTACACTTGACTTACCAGGAAAGATCAAATTTCCTAATTTAAGATTTTTTTAAATGAAGACTGCAGTGTATTATATTTTGTTTATAAATAACCTCTTGGTTATAGAGAACTTACTCAATACATTAAAAATAGTTTTCTTTAAGGCTTTGAAGAATAACAGAAGACTTGAAGATCTCATTGGTGTTTCCCTGGTCCCATGTTCCTTAAAAAATGAAGTAGAGAAAACTAGAACACTAAGTAAGAAAGATTAATGTATTTTTAAAGATCTTTTTTAATTTATGTATTTTATGTATATGAGTGTTTTGTCTGCATGTCTGTCTGCATACCCGAGAGAGCATCGGATTCCATTACAGATGGGGAATTGAACTCAGGACCTCTGTGCTCTTAACCACTGAGCCGTGTCTCCAGCCCCTGTATTTTTAACGATAGTAATTTTAGAGATAAACCTCCTAATGTTTCTCACGTTTCAGTCTGATAGATCACACATATTCAGAGCTACCCAGGTAGAAGTACTGTTCCCTTCATTAGAAAAGGAGTCATGTGTCTTTTAGAGGATTTGCTGTTTTATGGCTTCCCCTTGGATGCAGAAGAAAAGATTGCTCACTGGAAACTGCAAGCAGACTTCCTTTCTAGTGCGCTCACTTTCAAAGTAAGAAAGAGGGCAGAGTTGTGCTTGATAGCTATAGTATGTGTCATTTTGCATGATCTTCCAAATAATGAGGAATTATTCATTCATATTCCATATTTGTTTGTTCTTAGCCCAGATTGTCCTGGAATTCATCACATAGCCTAGGCTGTCCTTGAAGTCACAGCAATCCTCTTTTTTTTTCAGCTTCTTGAATGCTGGGATTACAGGTGTGTGCCAACCACACCCAAATATTTTATATCAATTCTTTAAAAAAAAAGATTGTGTATCTTTGTGTTTGTGTTAAAGAGCTTATGTTCACGTGTGTGTGCCCGTGCTCTGCAGACCTGTGTGCAAGCACAGAGTGTCCTATCACACTGCCTGTTCCTGTGGGTCAGGGTTTCTCCTTCAGTCTGGGACTTTTGTTTTCTCATTTGTCTGGAAACCAGCAAGTCTCGGGCATCTTTCTGTCCCCGCCCTATTCAGATCTAGGACTATAGTCATGCACAAGATTCCCAGCTTGTTAGACGGGTGCAGAGACACAAATTCTAGTTCTTATACTGGCTCAGCAAGCTAACCACCAAGCCATCTGCAGCCCCTTATGTTACTTCTTAATCTGAAGGTGGTTTTGTTTTTTAATACAGTGACAAAAGCAACAGAACAAAAGCTGTTTGATAAGAAGGATTCAAAAATTCCCCCCAAAGGTAAGATTGTACTTTAGTTTATTACGTAAGGAAATGTTTTCATGGGGCTGGAGTGTGGTTCCTCAGTTGAAAGCTCTTATCACTCCTGCAGAGGACGTGGTTTTGGTTCCCAACAACCCATGTGGTGCTGCGCAGCCATCCGTAACTCCAGGTCCTAGGGATCCAGTGCCGTCCTCTGACCTCTATAGGCACCAGAAACACATATGGTGCTCAGAATACATGTAGGCAAAACACTCATACACATAAGATAAAATAAAGTAAATCTTTTTAAAAAGAGAAATGCTTTCATATCAATCAGTTCACAAACTAAAACCTAAGTGTGTGTGCACGCACACACGAAGACCAAAAGAGGGCTCATATTTTTTAAATCCATTTATTTTATTTAAAAATGTTTGTAATACAGTAACAAGAAGACCACACCTGGTGAAATTTACTTTACTGATGACTTAATCTTGAAATACCTTTTAAAATACAGTTTTGTCTTTTTATTATAATTTCTTTTTAGAATGTTAATAATCTTTAAATTTTTAGTGGTAGAATATTTTTAAAGCATTAAAAGTAATTAGAATTCTGGAAACTTACAGGTCATTAGTGATCCTTTGGCATTTGATCTACTAAGAACTTATACTTATGAGCATTTAACACTGGAAACTAATTTAGCTGGTTTTCAGTTTCTATGGGTGAGACACACCATATCCAAGTAAGTTCTAAACATTTTGAGACCAATTTGAAAGTCAGCATTTGATGGGGGGAGGATTGCCCTTTTATCTAAGAGAGTTGTTTTTTTTTTTTTAGCATTTATATATTGTACAAAATGTGGGGTTTTATTGTGATAATCCCTTGTGTACATAAAGCATTTTTATCTTCTTCACATGTATTGCCCTCTCTTACCCACCCATACCATATCCTTCCCTGTCTGAGGACGTGCAGGGGTGTGTGCCTGTGTTCCCATGCTGGCTGCAGAAGAGGGCATCGAATGTTCCTAATAGCGTCCCTTCTGCTTTCTTGTCACCTTCCTTATTTGTTCCTTGGACTCTGCAGATGAGAGAGCACATGATGATAACTCTCTTTCTGGTCAGGCTTACTTCACTTCACAAGATAGCTTTAGTTCCATCCATTTTCTTGCAAGTAACCCGACTTTGTTCCTTTTTTTTCCTCCCCTGAAAACTATTGAAGAATGCTGTGAGCATTCCTACACATTACCTTTTGTAGATACAAGCACTCATGAAATTTTCATGAAGGAAATTTTATGCAACATCTTCAAGTGTAGCATTAAGCTAAGTAAATTATATTCATAGAAAACAATTTCCTACAGCCATTTAAGGTCTTTCTTTAGATTTTAATGATCATATGCAATATTATTTCAGTTATGTACCCAAACTATAAAAAAAATGTGTATGATCCTGTACTAACTGGTCTTATGAGTCAACTTGACACAAGCTAGAGTCATCAGAGAGGAAGGAGCCTCAGTTGAGGAAATGCCTCCATGAGATCCAGCTGTAAGGCATTTTCTCAATTAGTGATCAGTGGGGGTGGTGCCAATCCAGGGCTGGTGGCCCTGGGTTCTATAAGAAAGCAGGCTGAGCAAGCATGAGAAGCAAGTCAGTAAGCAGCTTCCCTCCATGGCCTCTATGGCCTCTGCATCAGCTCCTGCCTCCAGGTTCCAGACTTGATTGACTTCCTGTTCTGATTTCCTTTAGTGATAGACTGTGGTATGGAAGTATAATCCAAACTTGCTTTTTGATCATGGTGTTTTGTTGCAGCAATAGAAACCCTAATAAGGCAGGTCCATATATGCTTATATATGCATATAAATATATATGTTTGACTCACAATATATTGTGTATACACTTTCTATTTTAGGTTTTCATTGTGTCTATTTATGGTCCTGGGTTAAAAGGACATCTTGGCACAAGTATATATTGTGTGTTGAGCTTAACCACCTACCATACTTTCTCCTCCATTCTTCCCTTTATTTCCCCTAAATATTTTCACTTCTACTTTCATGCCACATATGTGTACATGATGTTATAGGTCTATATCTGGGAATCACAATTAAGCAAAATCATGGGATATTTTTATAACCGGCATGGGTCAACCAGTCTACCATGTCTGACTGGCTAGGACTTGAACAGTGACCTCCAGTGGTGACACCACATTCCAGTCAGATACAGAGGCCAACGACGTTACCCAAAAGTAACAGGCAAGATATCTCCAAAGCTGTTGCAGAGAGACGCAAAGTGGGCTTTTGCACCCTACTTGTACTGTGACCTGGAAGCAGATTGGGGTCTCTTCTCTCTTACGTTAGCTCTTCAGAGCGTGACTTCAGTGTCACTGTTGAACTTTCCTAACCTGACAGGATTTAGATTATGTGACATTTCTATGTGTATTATTTCTCAGTCAGAAGAAATCTTCTATATCTTGTGTTGATGACAAAATTTTAAAATCCATACTTTCCTAGAACTATTAATAATTAAAACTGGCATTTACCAAATTTGGAGAAATGAAGGAAAATTCTCGGGTAGTTAGTTAGCAGAATTATTACATTGAATTCATGTGTTAGAGGGTATACCATGGTATACTTGTAGGTCTGCAGGCAAATCACAGGAATCAGATCTCTCCCTCTAGCATGTGCCTCTGGGGACCAAACTCGGGTTATCAGGCTTTGGCAGGAAGCATCTTCACCACTGAGCCATCTCACTAGCCGTCAAATAATTCTCAAGAATGTTTTCTGAAAGTATTGCTACTCCACTAAAATCTCCTTGGGGGCTTTTGGATAATATGCCATTCATTTTAGTTACTCATTGCACCTCAATTCTTTGTGCATTTGTGTAAGATCAGCCTTGTAGCTTTTCTCTGTTATTTGTGCAGACTGACTTGTCCATTTCCAGGCTCTTACAAGGTTTGGTTTCTTTCATTCATAGAAGAAATTGAATCACTAAATCATGTTTTGAAATTTCCAGTAGGCATTAATTACTTGTAGAATAAATACAAACTTAATTTAAAAACCTGTTTGCATGTTATATGCCAGTATGTGTTGTTTTTATATACTATCTGGACCATGTATTTGTATTGATAATCCTCCATTCCTATGTGGCACAAGCTACATTAGCTCTTTCTGTCTTCTAGACTACTAAAAGTTCTTCACTTTTTGATTTAGGAAAACTTGCTTCCTGTGTAATTTGAGGTTGAGTTCCTGCATTTCACTGGGTGCTTCCCCTCTGCTTCCTCTGCTTCCTGCTAGACATATTTGCTATTTGGTTTTTTGTTGTTAAAGATTGTGCACACACATAAACACAAACACACAGATTCTTCTCTGCTAAATTAACAAGTCCCCCCTCTTCTTATCACACTGATTTTAAGAAGCATTTGCTAATTTTTGTGACATCTGAGATTAGTCTGCTTCATGTGTTCCATTGAAGACTGGGCTTTGAGTCTTAATGATGTTTTCTACTTTACTTTTTTTCTATTATTATCCAAATTTGTTTAAATTTTACATCTTGTGACTTCATGACATCAGAAGGTTTTTTTGAGTCGGCCCTTATGATATCTACTGAATTTGTTTCATTTCTGTAATCATAAAGGTGGGACTAGGCCAGCCACTGTTTCACCATCAGTACATCCCTGAGGTGGCCATTGAGGACGATGCTGGTCATTCCTCTTACCCTTCAGATTCTTCTAAAGTTTTCCTAGAATTGCAGGAGAACGGCAACATTTCCGCTGCCATTGCCCGTTTAGATTGGTCTTTTCCTCTTTCACCTTGGTGCCCGTCCCTTCCCTCAGTACCACCTGCAGCTGGTACTGCAGGGTGAAGAATGACTCTACAGGATTAAGTAAACAGGCACGTGACATATACTGTGCCACCTTCATGTAACTAAAACATCCCCAATAACTTGGAGAGGTCACTAAACTTTCCCTAAGATCTTATGAATCAGAATGCCTGCTTAGACTATGTGAATAACAGGCACTCCGCTGCTAAACCCAAGGTTCTTGAACAAAGGAAGGCTTCTTTTGGTTACTTAGGATATAAGACTAACTTCACTTTCCCTAATAATATTGGCTTTATGACTATTAGGAAAACAATGAAATGAAAGATTCCTTTTCTGTTAGATATGGATGTGAATTTTCATAATTATTTTAAATTTGTTATGCTTAAGCTTAAGACATCTGACTATTCAGTGGGCTGACGGACGGAATGTCACATTGTCATCACACGGGAAGGCATGCAATGTATTTGCTTTTCATAGTCAACCTCTACTAAAAACAACCTCTCACAGATAGCCCCTAGTCAATAGATGGCATTCTGTAGCACTTGGCATTTTCAGTTTTTCTGGAGATATTAAAATGCCACCATTGTTGGTCTGTGTCTAGGAATTCCAGTAAACAAAATGTTTTTGAAAAGAATGTAAGCAAATTGGGGAGCAGCTGCCAAGATAAGAAATCAAGACAGTTTCAGTCCAAAACATATTTTATGTTTTGAGAATAACTGTGTAGGTGGCAGAGTGCATATTTCAAATGTAGTATAACCATCTGAACTTTACAGGGTTCAAAAAAGTTGATTGTTTCAGCTATTTGTAACAGAAACGATTTCAGAACTTCTAGCTCTGGTCTTTTGAAAGAAGCACAGACTGTTTTCTTTAGTTAACTTCCATTGTAAAATTCATCTTGGTTCGAGAATTCCAAAATTCTTTAGGCTACATGACAAGTTGAAAGCCCTTCTGTGCTGACACTATAAAGTAGTTTGTGGCATTGCCTTTTCTTCCTAGAAACCATGAAGGTATTTTTAACAAAAGTATGTTTTGCTTCTCTCAACTCAATGTTGAAAAAGTATTCATCATATTGGCTAAATAATCTTACTTCCCAAAGACTACTACCCTTTTGGCTTTTCATCTTATAAATTAAGTATATTTTTTGTCAGATACTTCAGTTTTAAAAAGCACTCATCTGAGTTTGAACATTCTCTTAAAATTCCATGTGCTCTCCTGGACTGACTTGGAGATAGCTGTTAATTTTGTGCCACACGTACATATTAAAGTGCACTGCAGCCCCAGCCCTTTGTATGGAGTCACTGTTGTGCATGCTGTTCCCAGGTCAGACCTCTGCTGTAGATACTGCTAATGTTCTTCTGCTGTGCCAGGCATCACTGTTCGGGGAACACTACCAACTGCTGGAGATGCTTACTTAAGATTTGTCTTAGATTTAAGGAAAACCAAACAGGTTTATTACTTTTCAAAGTCTTTTACATAATTTTCTTCCACGCTTTAAATTCTTATGCTTTTCTTAAAGCATAATAATTTTTCTTTTGAAAAAATCTGTAGCAAATGTTAAAATTATACATTTGGACTCACTTAGTAGCAATTATGTGTTTAGGAGGTGTAAATAACTTGCAAGCAGACAGTACAAATATCCAGGTGTTCTTATGTGCTGATGACAACAAAATTGAAAAGAAAGACTGTAATAATTCTGACTGGTTTTCTCTGCAGAAGATATTGATTATTTGTGTGTGGTGAGAGATTTGGAAAATTCAATTAAAGGAGTTGTGCAAAGGTTTCATAAATTTCCCTTCTACAGCGTGTACACAGACATTGTTGCCTTTTAAATCAATGCAGCACTTCACAATATATTTTCTTTGAAACATAAAAATAAATAACATTTAAACAGTTCTGCTTACTACAGAAACAAATTTTATTTTCTGTGAAGCATTTAGTCATGTGCTATCACTGACTCATACACATTTGCCAGCTGTAACAAATTTTATAGACACTTCCCTGGAGACATAGCTCACATACTATGAATTTTTAAATGAACAAATGGTGAAGAAGGGATGTCAGCAATATAAAAATTGATCAGTTAAAAGATAAAAGCATAAGTAAAGAGATTTGTATGGTAGCCTTAATAGGTTTTATTAAATAAAAATACTATAAAAAGACAGTAATGAATAGACTGAGGACTGGCTGTTCTTGAGGAGGAGAAGAATTATCCTGGCACATTTATAGAAATTGGTTTTTTGTCACCTGACAGGTGAACAGTTTCCATTTTAACCCTGAAAAGCAGCCAGCAAAACTCACCCCACCCCCAAGACGCACATCGAATTGCTAAGTGGCATTCATACCTTAGACACATACGCAACAAAGTATATTTACATTATTATATAGCTAACTATGTTCGGTGCTTTGCGGCCCATCACAGACTCAGAAGAGAGGTCATTTGTTTTCACACTCAGTTCCAGCCCACTGGAATGCCTGGACCCCTCTGCCGCTTTCCTTCTATGAGATTGCTTTCTCCTCTCCTGCTTACCTAACTGTTAAGTCCGTCTCAGTGGCCCATCCTCTGTGAAACTCCCCATTCCTCCAAGAGAAGCACAGTTGCCTCCTGTTGTGGGCTCCCATAGTACTCGTCAGTGTTTGTCAGTTACTGTTACATGTGTTTGTGTAGTGCATCAACACTCTCAGATTACTGGCCTTTTGTGTGTGCGGGGGGGGGGGGGTCTTCTGAATTGCAGCTGCAGAGCCTAGATCAAAATCTGGAGAAGGCTTTCTCTCTCTCACTGTCTCTCACTTTAATTTTGGATGGGGTCTCCCTGTGTTTTCCTGGCCAGCATGGAATTTGCCATGTAGATCAGGCTGGCCTCAAATTCAGAAATCCACCTGCCTCTGCTTCCCAAGGGTTGGAATTAAAGAAGGTTCAAATACTTATGATTGCTCTCGTCATGTACTCCACTAACTGTTTTTGGAATCCCTGTTAGTCTTCTGTCCTTAGAGATAACAAGACAAGAAAGACATTGTCCAGCACAGAAAGCAAGTAACCACACTGAAGAGTAGAAGGGTAATAGCAATAGTAGTACATATGAATACTCTTTGTAATGCTATAATGTATAAGGCATACGAGTATCTTGGCTGTTATAATTTTAAAATATATATTCTGAAGTAGAATCAGAAAAACCTCTGAGATGCTGAAATAAAAACTATAAAGCCCAAACTTGTTTATTATGTCAAATAAAAGTTGTTTTTTTTAAAGATTTATCTATTTTTATGTGTATCGATGTTTTCCTGCATGTATGTAAAGGCACCATATGCATGCAGTACCCAGAAGGTGCTGGAGAGAGTGTCAGACCCCTAGGACTGGAGTTGTAGATAGATGGTTGTAATCTCCCGTATGAGTGCTGAGAACCGAACCTGGCTCCTCTCTGCAGGAGCAGTAAGTGCTCTTAACTGATGAGTCATCTCTCCAACCCCCACTTTTAATTTATTTTAATTTCACTTGAATCGATATTTACTTTGTATCACATAGTGTGGCAAGTTATTCTGAACTCTTTTCTGAAAACAAATCTCTTTTTTTTTTCATATAGAACATCATCTTGACAGCTTCGAATTCCTTAAAGCCATTTTGAACTGAGGTAATATCTTGCTTTTCTAACTTAACTTTGTTAAAGTTCATTGTCCTGTACATGTAAACATTTAACTTACATTGTAAGACTTAACTAATTAGTACAGCTTTCCTTTAGAGCCATTACTACTATCGTATAAAGAATCCTTTTCTAGTTACTATCATATAAACTATCAGTACATCATGACGTGATGTGTTCAGTAGTTCACTAGATGGACACACCTTGCTTGATTTGGGCACTTCCTTCATCTATCCACACCTCGGACTGGTCCTCACCCTCGTGAAGAGAGCTTCCATTCCAAGAGTAACCACGGGCTCAGTCTCAGCTGCTACACTGTCTCCAGCATATTTATTTCATCACTTCCTCATCAAAATTGTTCCTCCTTCTATCTCACTAGCCCAGCTTAAAAACTCCAAATACAACAGAAGTGATATGATCCAGCAGCATTTCAGCTGTGGAGACAGAATTTGAGCTGTACTAAATGATACAAGTTCAGACTCTCACTCTGGGCTTCTGGACCACTGTACAAAAATTGACTCTCTAACAAGGATCAAAGTGTCAGCTTGGAGAAACAGATGTCCCACAGGGCAAGCCCTCTGTTGCAAAAAAAAAAAATGTAGTAATTAACATGGACCAGGCCTCAAGGCAGAATCCACTAGAATCTACACCAAATCTAACTTTGAACTCCACGCACTGCCCAGAACCTGAGGGGAAAGCTTGGGTGCTAAGTCTGAAGACCACATCCTGCCTTCTGTTCATGATTGCAGCTGGACATGCAAGGACAAGCTGCTCTCCTGACCACATGAGCTAGGAAGCACGAAGGCCCATGAACTTGAGATAGGCCGCGACAGTGAAACTACATGTGAGAGAGAATGGCATGTAAAATTAATGACCTTGATATCAGTAAGATGTAGGCCAGTGGATGTCCTGGATCCTGCCTTTCATGAGGTGTGGAGCAAGGAATAGTTGGTAATAAACACTGCTTTCTGCTGTGGGTGCCAGTGGAGAAAAAGCGGCGTTAGAAAGTTCACAACAGGCATAGGTCTACTAGGGAAAGTGTGACAAGGGAATCAGAGACTGGGGACTTTACAGCAGCTCTAGCCCAGTGTGGTGTGCACAGCAGTAATCTCAGTGCCTGAGAGGCTGAGCTGTATGTACACCGGGGCTTTCCCGCAAGCAAGCATGTTCCGCTCTACATTGCCTTCGTCCAGGAGCCGCTTACAATCTGTTAATTATAGCACTCAGACAGAAGAACCTGTAAGACAGGACTCCTCCAATAAAGCCAGGCCTGACCTCAATCCTCCTCCCTCATCTTCCTGAGTGCTGGAATGACAGGCATGTACTAAATATGCCTGGCTTCAAAAACATGGGCAATTTTGATGGGCTGTATAAATATGCCTACATAAGCACAAAATATCAACAAGCGAGACTAAGAATTCAGGGCAATGCAGGCAGTCACCAGCCTCATACAGGCAGAGATGACCCAGCTGCGAGGACTATGAGGCCAGCAAGTATCTGAAGTATGCCTTAGAATATATGGTTTCCATGAAGGATGGATACTGCTACTACCTGTTATTCCATAACATAACATAACCCTGGATTTGACTTCAAAATCTTTCTCAATAGTTCTCCCAACAATCAGGGACAGCTGATGAAAACTTCTTTTGTAGTGTCTAGTATTACAAAAAATATAGTAATTTTTTTAAAGTCCAAGATGTGCAATGCCAACTCTATTACCTAGTTATAACCCTACTCTTGCCCAGGTTCCCTTCACACTGGACTGTAAGTGGGGCTTGTGATCCTACTTTGTGAGAATAAACTGTGTAATTAGCCTAACTAGCATCTCCTCCATGGTAACATTTTAATAAGATTTTCTCTCTTTTATAGTGTTACCTTCAAGTCTGAAAACTGTGTCAATCTACATGAGTGTTAGTAAGAATGCAACCCTGCCTGACATGAAGAGTTGGTGAAAGCAGGACTGTTAAGTTTGAAAACTGCCTTCTCAGACAGGAAATGGATTATCTATGGATAAGTAGGAAAAAATAAAAGAGTTCATTGTGCACTGACTGCCTTTTTATGCAAAAATATGTGCGTGAGCCCATCTTCCCCCTGACCAAGACGGGGTTCTTGTTCACCAATGTACACACCAACTCAGCTGGCCTGTGAGCTCCCCGTGAGTGGTAGGAGCACAGACGTGTGCTGCTGCCTCCGACTTTATATGGGTCCTAGCGACCCAAATGCAGGTTTGCACACTGAGCCACTGTCCATGACTTCTGATGGTGAACACAGGATGGAAAGAGCCACATGCCTGCAAGAAGGCCTGTTTCTTCAGTTGCCAATATCTTCCCTGACTCAGTGCTCCCGAGTCCAAATAAGATCCTTTGTCACCACTAGGAGTCCCCAGTAGGACACACTGAGTAGGAATCTGTCACAGTCACCACACACACCCTTCTTGGCAGCTGTTGAAGGAAGCACCTGCTGGAAGTCCCTTAAGGCATGTAGACAAAGGCATCTAAATTGTGTTTTCAGTGGGTCATGCTGGAGTATCAAAATTCTCTCAAAAGTATTTCTCATATTTCGCCATGCAAAATAAAAAGCGCTGTCAGAACAGCCAAACTAATTTGTGAAGGTGAATCTTAGAAGACGCAAAAGTAAGCTAACGGGAGCTTATTAGTGTCTAAAGTAGGTACCACATGGCAAATAGCACTTAAATCATTTCTTGAGTGATGTACGAGATGTATGTTAATTTGGAAACTAATTCATGATGATGTAATAACTATCTTCTGTATCCCAAAGGCACTTGAAGAAAGGCACGCGCTGTGAACAGTGTCCGCATCTGCCTGATCATATTTAAAGGCACAGAGAAATGTGTGTAATTAATCTGCCTAGTAAATACCAACTCGGAGCACGAGGCAGGTGCAAGTCTAGATAAAATTTCTTGCAGCTAATTTAAACTTTCTACACACACCACTAGATAATCTCAATGTAAATAATACATTTCTTCTTGACCCGTTAATGTAAGTCCTGCAGTAGAGTCCTGACTTGCACTGTTTCACCTATGTTCTATCGACTTTGAACACTTGTGGATAGAATTATGACTCTACCTTTGTAGAATGACGTCCTTTACTGACACTCACAGTCCCCCCGCGTGCAGTCCCAGCCACTCAGTAATTTACAGGTTACTTTGTGTTTGTTGGAAATGTTGTAGTATATTGTGGGACTGGTGTCTCAGGTGTGCACTGTTCCACTCTAGGGACCGTCATCTCTGCTCAGAGAAAATTACTGTGAATGTTTGAAGATTTTGTATATTTAGGAAACACTGGAATGAATTTTTGGGACAGACATTTAAATATTAAGTTGGTTTTCAACTAAATTCAGAGTCCAATGAATTAAAAGAAAGAGCTTTACTATAGGGCAGAACGGGATCCCTTCCAGATTGTTTGAAACATTAGCTTAGACGTGACTCTGCGGTGTCTGCATTACAATCTGTTTGTGCTGTAAGGAACGAGCGGAAGGAGAGTCAAAACTTTTGTCACATCTTTATAACACAGTTTCTACACCTCACACACCGGACCACTGCTGCAGGAAAGAAATGCTGTTCTCTTGGTACTTGCCCTAAGGAAGTTTTGACAAAATTAGTCTAAGATGTTACCTGATTAGGTATTACTTCGAAAATAAAAATCTTGTATGAAGATGTAAAATAAAAATCAAGATTGAAAAGAATTCATTTTCCACTTAGAAACATTTCAGATTGATATATTAAAGGTGTTTTTAAAAATCTGTTACTATAAATGGCATAGGTGCTAAGTAGTTGTTCAATCTCAATGAACTATTCAACCTAATTGTCTTCTGGGTTTCCAGGAACTACTTAAAGCAAGATTTTTTTTTTTTGTATATCTGTCTGATAAATATCAAGGATACTTTTTGATATAATCCTTCAAATACGTGATGAAAAATATACTAATATAGATTGTTCTAACACTGAAAACTAGGACACAAGTCAAAACATTTTATAAAGTACCCTGCATCAGTTAGGAAACAAAGGGTTAAGAAGCAAGTTGGTTTCATATGTAATGAGTTATGTAGGTATGTGTTTAACACAGTTACTGTGTGTTTGACCTCTTGATAGACTGAGCATTTGCCTTTCAGAACAGCTGGGTCTGCTGAGAACCAGTTCCCAGTTCTCTTCATTGTAGATCAGATGACTCTCGCTTTATCACCCTTAGAGGCCACATGAAGGACAAAGCAGAAAGATCCACACACAAAACTAATGTTTATGTGGGGGGAGGAGGAGACATATACGTGGCCCAAATATTCCAATTAGCAAAAAAGAAACCAACTGAGAATTGGAACCACTGTGTTCCTCTGGCCATGTTTTGGCTGTAATCTGTCGGTGTCTTGCTCCTTCCTATAGAACAGTGGGCTGTTTGACTGCCTTGACCTCTGTGTGGCTGGCTCCCCTACTGGTGGTTTATGATTTGGACAGATGTTTTTCCCTCCCTGGTGAGCTTCATATGATACACGAACCCACACCCTATTCTCTTCTGGTTTAAGAAGCAAACCCAAGTGCATTAGCCATAGAGAAACTGCATTTCTCAAGAATGCCTCTTCGTTCTAAGATGTATCTGAAAAGAACATGGAACTCCTGATTTTTGACAGATAAGGAAATGAGGCTTCTGATTTTAATTTTGTATAAGTATCTATTAAAGCCCCCCAGGCCCTGAGGTTAGCTGAGGGATGCTTTGGACCCCTCACTGGAGGAGGACCCAGTGCTTTGGAAGCTAGCTGCTGCAAAACAAAGCATACTTTGTCTGACTTTGTTTTGTCTTTCAAAACAGTATTTCATGTGGCTCAGGCTAGCCTCAAACTCATGATGCTCCTAAATATAGCTCCCAAGTGCTGAGATTACAAGTGTGTACCACCAGAGCCAGCTCTAAGTGCATTGTAAACTGGTTTGCAATGGGTAGGAGAGCTATGATTTACACGGATCATCCTAAGTCTCCTTTAAAGCTGAAGGTTACTCAGTATGGGTAGACTAAATCATCAGGGAAAAAAAAGTTTTTATTGACAGAATCTACGTATACAAGAAATCTGTACATAAATATAGCATCATGTTATGCTGTTAAATACTTTTGCTTTTGAGTAATAAGGTTCCTCTACTGAATTTCTGAGAAGTTAAAACTTTGTCATTAACAGAAATCAACATTTCAGTGTTAAACTCAGATACATTATTAAATGGGGAAAGGTGGTAAAGTTAAACCAGCCATGATGCTGTTAATCAGGCCCAGAGGTTACAAACAGTGGCCATGGACAGGGATGCCCCTCCTGACTGGACAGTGATCAAGGTGCTTCTCTCTGCTGATCTTGCCCTTTGAATCCTCACGCACACTGGCTCTGCCTAGACCCACTTCCTTGATCAGACTGAGAAATCCATGTTTTCCTGCATCGGCCTATAGCTAGCCATGTCCAGAACCAGTTCTTTATACTACCTTAGAATACGCCATTAAATGATTTAATTGATGACTGTATTATGAAAGAAATATACTCAAAATAGGCTAGTGGTAAAGTGACTTTAATTTTTATCAAAACTAAAGAAACAGCTTTCCATGAGAAAGGAAAACATAATACATGATTTTTACCAGTTGAAACCAGAGAAAGCACAGGAAAAGAGATAGCCATATCTATAGGACAAGCCAACAAGAGGCCTGGCCTGAATAAACACTTGTGTCCAAGGAGATCTTAACTGAGGTAGCAGAAAGGAAGCTGGAATTCGTGATAAGGTCGTTTAATTTAGAATGATTATAAATATATAGAACTAATGACCATGAGTAACCATAAGACTTTAAACTTCTTATTTTTATATTCAATAAAGTTCTTTTTAAAAATGGAATCAAGTGCTTGGAAACAAGAATACCATTTAATCTATTAGCATCCAATTTTGCATATGTAGTAATGCATATTCAAATTTCAAACAGCACAACATACCTTCTCAGTAATTAAAAAAAAAGTTAATTCCCTGAGATGCAACTTTAAATGAGATGCTTATTACTTGTATGCTAAAGCTCAAACAAGACAGGGGCTTAGTTCTGCCAATAAACTCACGATACTTAATTTTTTAAAAAATTATAATTTATAGAATAATTCCATTATTAAATATTGGCATTAAGGACATTTTTTTTCTCTCCCTTTTTTGTTAAGACGGGTCTCATGGGGCCCAGGCTAGCCTCAAACTTTCTATATCACCAAGAATGATCTTGATCCCAGGTTCTCCAGCCTCTACCTCCCAGTACCGGAATTACAGATGTGAGTACTGCAACCAGCTGGGACATTTTTTTCTCTTATTCTGTCATTTAACTATCTGTGAATATTAGCAAAACTACAATATGCTTTACCAGAAAATACTTAGGAAACAAGTGTTTTGGTCCCATAAACAGTTTGTGTAGATAATGGTAGGCACTGGCCATTTCTTTCCTATGATACCATGACTCTAAAGATGCACGTTCACTTACACGTAACAGAAGACTGCATTTGTTTTGGAAAACAGCTAGTTGATTTTCTTCCGAGTTCTTCCATTGTTGGAATCCCACAAGATTACAATGTTAAAGTATACCAAGAAGAACATGAAGTTTATGCAGGACACAAAACACACCAGCACAGGGAACAAGTCTGGTAATTTCTGAGGAGGGTGCAACGTGACACTCAAAACCGTCAGAAGGGCCATGGTGGTGACTGAAGAGAAGAACTGGAAGGGAAAGAAAGACTCTTACTGAGTGGCAGAGGCCTGCCGGGGTGCTGGCTGCGTTCCTTGTCAGCCTGCCTCAACCAAGAAAACGCTGCCATCAGACTGGCCTGTAGGCATCCTCTCGGTTAGTGACTGATGTGCCAGGTTCCAACACACTGGGGATGGTGTCACCCTGGGCAGGTGGTCCCCGGATGTGTAAGAGCAAGCCAGTAAGCAACCACTTCTCCCCAGCCCGCACTTCAGTTCCTTCCCCCAGACCCTGCCTCAACTCACATTCTCTCCTGTACCCTTTCCTCCTCAAGTTGCTTTTGATC